GGACCCCAGACTGTGACTGCCAGGAGGGGGAAGAGCACGAGGAGTGGTGCAGCTTGCTTGCCCCCAATAACTCTGCGCCCGGGGTTGACTGCCTTTGTAGCCCTCCCCCACACTATGCCACTGCTTTGCACCTCCTAAAATTTTTGCACTTGGAGCAACCACCCATGTGCATGCGCCCCCCCATGCTATGCCACTGCCAGAACCTGCACTGATAGTTTCACAACATCCATGCTCTGGAAGGCTTGTAATGATATGTCCATTGCTTTTTTCCTGTGCTTTGCCGTGTTTTTTTATTCTACCTGAAGGCATGGTTTATTTTGCCCTCGGGTTGTTTTCTGGAGGATGAAGTCAAGCCCAGTGGCAGTTCCTATGAAGTGTATTTTGCATGTCAGTGCCTTCCAGCTGGAAGCTTTTCATTAGCACAACCTTATACGCTCCAGAAAAGAAGTGGATTTCTAACAATGGTTTCAAAACTCTCCTGCAGAGAAGCAGTTGCTAAAGACATGGCTTTTAAAAGTTCAGTTTGGATACTGATCCTGCTAAGCCCCCAAATCCTTCATGACCAGCATGGAGAAAACAGGAACCAAGGGAGGTGGAACTTTTGCCTCATCTGGAAAATTACAACAAGGAGAGCTTTTCCACGGTCATGTACTTAGGCTGACCGCAGAAACTGCCTGACACACAGAGTCAACCTGATAAAGTTATCTGAATAACTTCTTCTCCCCATGCCAGAGGTCAACTAAACCCCTCTCAGAACCTGCTGTTAAAAGCACAGAAATCAGAATAGGCTACAAAACAAACAAAGAAAAAAAACAACACACAAATTCCCAACAACCAGAATATTCCGGATTGCTCAAATGCTCAACAACCAAAATATTCTGGATTGCCCAATTAGTATGTAATTGATCAACATGCTCGTACCCTATCTCTCCGTCCTTCACAACTTGCTAGATTTCCAGAGCACAATCCTTGGCACAGACTGCAGACTTGCAAATATTGTTAAGTGTGCCTTATCGAAAAGATGTCTTCTTTTCAATGGTGTGTATAATCTTGAAGAGATAGGCCCAAAAACCCACTGCTGGGATGCCGCTGTTGGTCTGCGGCTTTCTCTCGGTGACTCAGTGATCAGCACTAATGACCATAATAAGATGCTGATTCAATCCCAAGGTTTGCAAGAGCCTGCCCTGAAAGCTAACACAGATACAATACGATTTCCAAGAGAAGGGAAAAGACTCGAAAGAAATGTTTAAAAAAAACAGCTTCTGTTCTTTCTGTCTCTGCCAGATTATAGATGACATGACTAAGGCAGAAAAAAAAAAACAAAAAACCCAGAGATCAAAGTGCTGGCTCGTAAGGACGTCACCGCCATTTAAATTCATGTATGGGACTGTCTTAACTATGACCAGTAAAAATGCTCGTAAAATGTGCAAGCTTCCAAGTTCTCCAGAACTCTTAATCAGGCTAGGTAATAAAAAGGTGGGTGGGTGGGACTGGTGTATTACCCCCCCATGCCAGTTTTGGAGGCACCATGCTAAATCTAAGAGCATCCCCCAAGGTTCAGAGTGAATGTGCTGTACTGCAAAGCAAAAACAAGAACTACCTAGTTACACAGTGCCACCACCTTAATAAGGCATTTCATGGCCTTGGCTGTCACTGGGAACTTCCATCTCTTGGATTCCTGTCTTGTCTTCTCATTATGTCCCCAAAGTAGGACAGCTTCAGTTCCAACATTTCTGCCTCCAAGGAAAGTTGAGGTTTGCTTTGATCTCTAGGACCTATTTGTTTGTCTTTCTGGCAGCCTAGGTTATTGACAAAGCTATCTTCCAGCACCACATTTCAAACAAATCAAATTTTTCCATGTCAGCTTTTTACACTGTCCAGCTTTCCTATCTGTACATAGTAAAAAGAATGCCATAGTGTAGATTACACTCACGTTGGTCTCCAGCAACACATCCTTGCACTTGAGGGGGGGTGGGTTTGGGGCTCCTTCATAGCCATTCTTCTAAGGTTGTCACCACCAAGCCGAATTGGAGGGATTCAGCTTTGCTGCGGCTTGATCTACAGCCTATTTTACGCTTCCGTTCGAATCGGGTGATCACGCAGACAACACAATGCAGATTGTTTTGGTCTTTGTGGCCACAGTGGCCCTTCGATCTGATGTGGTTTGATCTGTGCCACACAGCCCCTCTTCCTTTGATCCTGCCCTTTGCTGATCCCTGGCTCTCCTTTTATGGTTCACTGTAGTGGTTCCCAAACTATGCACCACAGTGCACCGAGGCACAGACAAACCCAGTCACGGGCACCGCAGAATTCTTGGAAGTACTTTTGTGGTATCCGTGGCCCCATCTGGCACACTGTCCTTGCAAGCAGCCAACCGGGATGCCTTGTGTGTGTGTGTGTGGGGGGGGACAGGGGAGACTGAGAATGGCCCTGTTCATTTTTTCCTTCTCTCCTCCGCCCCACACAAAGAGATCATTCCAGCTTTCTTGTTCCCTCCTTTTGCAAAAGAGGCTCCCCTAAAAACAAAACAAAAAACAACAACAAAAAACAAAGTAATACCTTCCAGGCTCCTCCATCCTATCCGAAATATTTTGTTAGGCTATCTCTATTCAATGGCCTCCCTGAGGCTGTGCTAAGGCACCTGCTACTCGGTGTTAAGATCCACCTTCCCCTCTTCCCAGGGCCCACTGGTGGATGAAGGGAGAGAGGGAGGGACCATGGAACAATCTGTCATAGTCTCCCCAGTCTCTAGGGAAGGAAGGAGGCTGGGTAACGTGGCTGCAAAGTAGGAGGGACATGGCTTTTCTCCGACAGAGTGGTGGCCCTCTAGGCTTCAGGGATCTGCAGAAGTACTATTTAGGCCGGGCTTCCCCCTCCTCACCCAGAGAATTGCCTTGGGGGAGCACAGTCAGTGGCTAGTAAGTCAAGGGAGCCAAAAGTCAAAAACATTTGGGAACCACTGGTTCATTGTAAAACAACTGGGTTGCTCTACAATGGCACTTGGGAAAGGGGATAGTTTTCCAAAATTCTCTTTTGTGTACGAACACATACACATGTCACAGAAACATGGTCACCTGCTGTAGTTCATCAGAGTTGTTTCTATCTTTCTGTCTATCAACACATATATTGCTCTATGCAGAGGTAATCTAGCACTAAACTAGTACATCAATGTTGTGATAAGGTGATCTAGCGCTAAAGTAGAAGGGGGAAGGAGGAAACTGGGGAGACTGACCTGACTAGTGGTAAGTCAATTGTACTGTATCTTTGTTCACCTCCACTGATATTGCCAACCAAGGACTGTTCCAGATTATATGCCAGCCTGATTGGCATGGGAGGGCAGCCCACATAAGCTTAATATGACCCATCAGTGCAATGTGGCTGCAAAAAAGGCAAACACTATTTTAGGATGCATTAACAGAAGTGAAGTCTCCAAATCCAATGAAGTAATAGTTCCCCTCTATTCAGCACTGCTTAAGCAGAGTTTTGAGTACTATGTCCCATTCTGGAAACAGCACTTTAAGACAGATGCTGATAAACTGGAACAAGTTCAGCAAAGAGCAACAAGGATGATCAGGGGACTGGAAACCAAGTCCTATGAGGAAAGATTGAAAGAACTAGGCATGTTTAGCCTTGAGAAGAGAAGACTGAGGGAAGATATGGTAGAACTTTTCAAATACTGTACTTGAAAGGTAGTCATACAGAGGAGAGGCAGGATCTGTTCTTGATCATCCCAGACTGCAGGATACATAATAATAGGCTCAAATTGCAGGAAACCAGATTTTGATTGACTATCATAAAAAACTTAGCAGTAGGGTAATGGGACCAATTACTCTGGGAGATGATGAGGGCTTCCAAGAGAAGATTACTTCCTGTCAGATAATATTTTGATTCGGATTCCTGCATTGAGCAGGGGTTGGACTCAATATCTTTATAGGCCCCTTCCAACTCAATTATTTTATGATTCGGTATCATAGATGTTTACATTATTTTGCAATTCTTTATCATAGAAGTTTACAATTCTATGTACGCTTCCCTTAGAATAAGCTCCACAGACCTCTCTGGATTTTCTTCCAAGGACTGTGCTATAAATATAGGTTGCAGTATTTAAGAATAAATTCAAATTTAATTTAGATTTCAGCTTATAATGTCTTTAGTAGTTGGTGCTTCGGTTTAGAGATAAATATTAAACCTTTCTGAATCATAATCATGCACTCAGGACTGCATTAGAAAAATAAATAATTTGCACTCTTTAAAAATCGATTCTGGCTTCTCTCTCTCTCTCTTTTGGCTCATGGAAAAAGCAGAAGTACTGTAATTATGTTGCTTATTTTTATTTAATGGCATCTATTGTCTGATAAAACCTCTGTCGTTCCCCCAGCAATTCCTATCAAAAGTTGAAAGTGGCTGCTTTCCAGTGCATAGTGTTGGCATCTCCAAGTAAATTTATAAAACAACACAGGGAGAGGGGGAAAATGCAGCTGGAGCGAAGTTGATTTGTTATTCAAATCAGAAAAGGTCAGTTTGCAACCGTTGACAGTTTTGAGAAATTTAAGAGTAAACTGGAGGGTTGGGATTAATGAAACGGTTGCTTGTTTCCCCCCCTCCTTTTCGCTTGGTCTTAATTTGAATTTCATAACTCGCCGCCTCCTACACATTTAAGACCTATCCTCTCGCATGCAAGGCTCCCAAAGCAAAAAGGGAGGGAAGCAGGCGGCTATTAACGTGAAGCAGCTCTAGGCAAATCAACAAGCCTAATCCCACGGGTCTACTCGGAAGTAACTCCTGAGAGGAGTGGAAACTATTTGCAAATAAAGATTGCAGCTTTAGCCTATTCTTGGAAGTTCACTCCGATCGGTCAGCAGAACTTAAGCTTGCTAACAGCGGCTGTAATGTACATGGCGAAGCGGCTTGGGAGTAAGTCTCAGTGATTCTGCACGGAGCCTACTTTCGAGTAAAACCGTTCTCGGCATTATGCTCGGCCATGCCGGGCTCTGGGCGTGGAGGCTCCCTCCAGATCCACGCCCCGTGAACGGACTCTCTTCGCTTTGGCAATTCGATGGTTTCAGGGCCAAGATCTCGGATGTGTTCACATGTATTTGAGCATGACGTCTCCTTTTTTTTGGACCATACCACGGCGACTCAAAACCCGGATTCTGTTGCCATGTCTTGCGGTTTCAAGGCGACGCGGCAGGTAGTATCGTTTCCAATTCCGCCCTGTGGTACATTTGGGTACAACCAGGTCCACCTCCACAAAACACGATGCGCTCGGGCTCCGTTTTATTCATTCCCAAGATTTTTTTAAAATTTTTACTATTCGCCGCCCTCGGACAACATCCCCCCCCCCGGCTCCGCACGCTGTTTTACTTTCCCATGAAAGAGCATGCCCCACAAACACACAGAGAGACGTGCACACACATGCACCCAGTTGCACGCAAAGAATTGCACAGCACCACCACGGCCGCCGCCGCCGCCTGACTCTCTCGCGTCTAGAGGGAGGCGCAGGCGC